AAAGGAGACACAGGGAGATAAATTTGTTTATGGTTTTGTTTCAGGGTTTGTGTTGGCCATGAGGCATGAGTGTGGTTGTAGAGGATAAAAGGCCATGGTAGGTGTACAGGAGAGAGACTGCACAGTTTGATCAATACGCTTAGAGTATAGAGATAGGTAGAGACTGCCAGTCTGAGGCACTAGCTATAGAGCCTGGAGAGGGACTTACAGCCAGTGGGCCTAGCAATGGGGCCTGGAAAGAAACTGTTAGACAAAGGGCTAGCAACGGAGCCCAGAAACAGGCTGTCAGACAGAGGGCCTAGTGAGAAGGCCCTAAGAGTGCTTGGTTGAGGGCAGAACCTGTGGGCCTGGGAGAGACAAAGTTGAGGGTAGAGACTGCAGTTTTGGGAGAGCCCAATTAAGGGCTGACAGTACAAGCTGCAAGACGAATAAGCCATGTGTGGGTGCCAGGGAAAGAGCAAGGCCTGGAAGAGGATAGCTGGTTGGGAGCACTTAGAGAAAGAGTGAGCCCCAAGAACAGATACGAAAAAGGTGTTGGCTGAAACTCGAGAAAGCAAGGAATGCCTTGCTCAGGGAACTGACTGCATAGGCGGTGGAAGACTGGGGCTAACAGGGCGTAGCCCCCACAAACTTTTCATGGTGGCTGGCAACAGATGCAGCACCATGCTGCTACTGTCCTGCAGTTCCCAGCGCTGCTTGGTGTGCAGCCACTTTGCTGCCGCTGCATACAGCACCAGAGCGCACTGGCCCCACAACAAGAGGGGTGGTGGTATTTTCCCCCACCGCTTATGGAACTGTGCTAAAAGATCAGTCACTATGCCAGCCCAGTTATGAGCAGGTTAGAGTGAATCATCTAAAGCAGGGGTGGGCAAAATGCAGCTCAGGGGCCGGATGCAGCCCACCAGGCCATTCTATCCAGCCCACGGGGCCCCTAAAAAATTTAGAAAATTAGTATTAATCTGCCCTGGGCTACCTGTTGTGCGGCCCTCGATGGCTTGCTGAAACTCAGTAAGCGGCCCTCTACCCAAAATAATTGCCCGCCCCTCATTTAAAGGGTCGCTCTAGTGGTCTGAGAACAGCCTCCCAAATTTATAAAATCATCAAAGGCGTGACAGGCAAGAGCAAGAGAGGTGGCCAGTGCAGGGGGCAGAGTGCCTAATAGGTCTCAGTGGGCTGTCAGAGGGCACGAAGCACCATAGGGAACTTGGGAAATACAGACTAAATGAAAACACTGTAATGTGATTTCATAATTAGTTGATTATTACATAACTAGTGAAAAAGCCTGTCAAACATGACAGGCAAAAATAGGCTACTTGTTATAGGGTACCACATTTCTGTTATCCATTGTGTCATCACCAACTTGAGCTGTTCTGCCTGGTCTTCGTCTAGATCAGAGGTGTCCAACCTTTTTGAAAGTGGGGCCAGATCATGAAGTTTTTATTACCCAGTGGGCCGGCGAGCCATATTCAAAGACCTCACAGGAAGTGGTATCACATCACCCCCCCAAAACGAAAGTACAGTGTTTACCTTCGTTTCCCATCGCAGCACCTCGGGCCTCAGAAAACAGCTTGGAGGGCTGCATGGTGGCCCGCGGGCCACATGTTAGACAATCCTGTTCTAGATAATGGGTATCCATCAACATCTCCAAATGTCTTCTCTCTAAAATCCTTCGGCTATTTCTTCAAACATTGATGATTTTCCATGCATGGTGCATTTGGACTCAATCCTCCACACGGTCCATGGATCATACATCTCATCACAGTGATCTTTGCTCAACAGGCAATGCATTGTTGTACGATTGAATGTTTGTTTTAAAGTTCTGGTAATGCTTCTTGTTCCAATTCGTCATCGAATCCCACAAATACTCTGGAAATGATTGTCTTGGAGGCAGAATCACTTTATGCTTATGACAACAGCTCTGGAATTAACCATCTGATGGTCTTCAGCTTGGAAATTTAAAGAGTTATAAAATTGGCACACCATGTTCATCAATCCACAACTATGTTCCTCAATCTCGTTTCAGTGAATCTTTTGTTGTCTACTCTTTTAGCCTGTCTTCTGTTGCCTCTGTGAACTCTTTGCCCTTCTATTGCATCTCTTCTGCAACATCCTCTTTGCTCATCTGTTTTATTGCATCTTACTCTTACTATTCTTTCTGCATTCAATTGTTGTGTATTCTCTGCTTCACTCACTGTCTCTGCAATCCCTTTGCTTTTCCATTGCATCTTTTCTACGATGTCCTCCTTGCTTATTTGTTTCATTTTGTCTTACTCTTGCCATTCTTTCTGCATTCAATTGCTGTCTATTTTCTGCTTCACCTTGATAAGGGTGTTATGGGTTAAAGTAAAAATAAGAGTGTTAAGGGACAATTTTTGCTTGGATATTAAGAATACACCATAACTAATTGAAATCAATCACTAAAAGTCCAGAGAATTGAGCATGACAGGCAGAATGGCAAAGGCACAAACAAAGCAAATTATTATAGAGGATTCGTTGGATATTCATTGTCAGTGAATGGTTATCAGTGGCTCAATGTCTAAGTCTTCTCATGTTTCTACACCACATTTGACCATTTTGTTACACATGCTTGTGCTTGTTTTTTATACTTTGCAAGATCTTTCATTGTACACGTGCCTTTGAGCAGCAGGCATTGCAGCAGGTGTTGCATAGTCTTAGGCTCTGTGCCACAGTCACAGGTGGTTGAACCAATGGTGTAGCCCTACTTCTCCATTAGTTCCTTGGAATGTCTGACTCTGGTATTAGGTGGTTGAGATATTGCCACATTTCCCATCATCAGCCCCTGGTGGTAAGGACTCAGCTGCTGGAATGTACATTTTTTCACTGTCAGTTATTTTCTGTAGCCTCTTGTTCCACATCTGCAGTCATGCCTTCTTGGGTGTGTTATTGAGAGGTTGGGTGCTGGTGAGGAAGCTCCCGCATGACTTCAGACATATGTGTGCTGTGGGATGGTCATACAGTGGGTGTCTCACATCTTCAGTTTGTCCTGCTCGTTCTATCTACAATTTTGAATGTTTAGGTGGGAGTCAAGTGGGATTCCCCAAAGGTATTTAAATTCTTCATTAATGATTTGGACAGTGGGATTGAGGATAAGGTTAGCAAATTTGCAGACAACACCAAGTTTGGTGAAGCTGCAGATACTTTCCTACTGGAGAGTAGGGCTAGGATCCAGAATGAACTGGATAGCTGGAATATTAGTTTGCAATTAACAAGATAAAATTCAAGAAGGACAAATGCAAAGTCATGTACTTGGGATTAAATAATTGAATGAACAAATGCATACTGGGGAATGCCTGGTTAGACTGCAGGACTTCAGAGAAAGATCTGGGGGCTACAGTAGCTGAATAAGCCAAATATGAGCCAGCAGTGTACTCTTGTGAAAAAGGCCAACAGTATATTAGATTGTATAAACAGTAGTATCACTTGCAAGTCAAGGAAAGTGATTCTTTTGGTCTCTTTAGGACTCACCTGGAGTACCATGTCCAGTTTTAGGCCCCACACTTCAAAAAGCATATGGGTAGATTAGAAAGCCCAGTGAAGAGTAACAAAAATGATTAGAATCCTGGGAAGAATGACCTATGAGGAAAGGCTGACAGATCTCAGGTTATTTGGTCTGGAGAAAAGACTGAGGAGGATTTGATAGCAGTCTTCAAATATCTGAAGGGGAATTGTAAAGAAGATGGAGATACACTTTTCTGTGTGGCCCTAGGTGACAGGACTAGGAGTAATGGCCTCAAGTTGCAGCAGAGGAAATTTAGGTTGAAGATTAGGAGGAACTCTCTTTCTGTGAAGGTAGTCAAGTATTGGAACAGGCTCACTAGACAAGTTTTGAACACTTAATTCCTGGAAAATTTCAAGTGCAGACTTGGCTGGGATAGTTTAGACCCGGATGACCCTGCCTTGAGTAGGGGACTGGCCTAGATGGCCTTGTGAGGTCCCTTCCATGATCCTATTATCTTATGTAATCCCTCTTCTTTTGATATTGAACAATATAATCATCACTCATCAAAATAATTGTTGAATATCTTGAGACAGCCACCATTCCTTTGAATTAATTTTGCTCCCTTTAACACAACACTTGGCTGGCCTGAAGAGCAAGAGTTCACATTCAGGAATCTGAAAGCTCCCCTGCATTGCAGTTCAGGACATCACTAGACTTCTGTCCCTCTTTTTAAAAATATTGATAGACTTTATTTCCTGCTAAAAAGAAGCTCAGTATAAAAAATGGAAAGTTCAGATTAATAGTACTTCTTCTCATAAGAGTGTTATGGTGATTCAAGTAGTTAGTGCGTTGTATTGAAGTGAGTGATGTAAAAATGAGATTGTTTTAAGTGGGTGCCAAAAAACCTTTAGTACGTGAGAGGTAGTTATACAAAGAGTAACACTGTATTATAGTCGGGGTTACTAGTACCCCTTATAATTAAGGTTGCCTGACATTTTCCTTCATAAGACTGTATATTTGGTTGCTTATAATTTTGCCAGACTTTAGCCACATGGGCTGAAATTTTCCATTCCAGGTGCTGGTCTGAGGCAATTTGAGACAAAGAGTGAGAGAGGGAGAGAGAGAACAATGCATGCAAAAGAACGAAAGAAAGAAGATGTTCAGCCCACATCAAACAATTTTCACAACCATTTCTTTGAGAAATTCTAGAAACCAGTAGGTGTGGGAGCAATATCTTGAAATTTGTCAGGGAGTGGCATTTGTATCAGTGACATGCTTTTAAAGAAAATAGCATGTGATTATATAATTAAAGACTATTTTAGAATGCATGTTTACAGAAGGGCTGAAAGAGGGGCATTTCTTAACTTTTACATGCTGAGTTTTGCGATCTTAATAATATAGTTTTCTAAGTAGAAAAAATATAGAATTTTGTTAAAATATACAGCAGTCTTTTCAGGACTGTTTTTCTGTTGTTTGTGCTGTAGACCCAGAACTGTCTTTTGATAGGCATATTAATTGGGGCACTTTGTTCCTTTGCCAGGATTTCCTTTACATGCTGCTGGAGGACATCCCTGAACAAAAAGGGTAAGTGAGAATTAGAGGTCAAAATATATGGAATACAGAGTAGAGGTCAGATGTATAGATCAGATATGCTAGCCAGAAATGTTAGCAAAAGTTCTCATTTAATATAGTTGAGATTCAAGATTTATATATTTATGTTGACTTATATTAGTATGTGAATGTGTGTATGTGCATTTATATATTAGACTTGCACATGCACATGTTTTATATTTATCAAACATTCGTATGTTTTAAGTGAGATCTCAAATACAGAAAATTAACAGGAAAAGTAAGTACAGGCAAATTTCAATAGCATTTTTAATCCTGAGAATATTTCACACGTAAATAGCACAAATAGCACCTTTCATCAGAGTATCTTAAATCACTATCTAAACATTACAACATATAACCTCATAGTACTGTCTTGTGTAGGAAAGTATTTAATTTGGTTTTACAGAAAGGAAAACAACTCAGGTGAAGAGAGGTTAAGGGCAAGAGATTCAAAAGACATTAATGAAAATTCGGTGACTCGTCACATGTGCAAGAAAGTCTGTAGCAGAGCATTGAATTGACCTCTGAGCTTTTGTTTCTCTGTCTTGGGTTTCAGCAATAAATCACCCTTGCCTAAAACAACATAACTTCCAGTTTCCCAGAAAGTACACTATGGTCGGGTCAGTTTTTTCTATCTGTGCTCAAGTCAAAGTGAATCTTGTTCCAGAAATAATCCTTGCCCTTAGTGGAACTTTTGGAGAGCTAGTGTATTAACAGACCTCTTTCTTGAGGCAGTTCTGATTGATTCATGTCAAAAGAGGGACGAAAGAGGAGCTGCTCAGCCCTTGATGCATGTTACCTCTCTGGCAATTAACTTGAATGACCTGGGAACACAGCACTGTCTCAGAAAAAGTGTTATCACATTGTATCTTGCATATTTCACACATAAAGTGAGCTGATAACAAAAAGTTTTCTCCTGGGAGAAATGCCATGTCTATTTTTATACTGAAGTACTGCTCAGTGAGTGCAAGGAAATCAGAATTGGGGTGAAGTAATTAACAGCAAATCAGATGCTAAAACAAGCAATAGGTTGATCTTTATGAGAAGAACCCTGAAAATGTTACTCAGTGTCTTAGGCAGCTTAATTGAAATTAAGAAAATACAAAATGAAAAAATATGGCTGTCTATAATTGGTAAAAGCGATATGTGACCTAGCTAGCTCTCTGAGATGTGTGTACAAGTCATTGCTTTCAATGCAAATTGCATATACGTATCTCTGAAGACCAATGTCTCTTCATAAATGTAATCAGTTATTTCTTTTTCCATTTTACAACAACTGTTTGGCTCATTGTTCAGTCAGAGGGCCTGGAAGACAGCTTTTATTTCTTATACTCTTGGATATTTAGTAACTTCTAAAAACATTTATGAAGACTCAAGGCTTGAGTCCAGTATCGAAATTATAAAGTCTCAAAGGAATTCTAGACCAATGGCTGATTTTAGCCAAAATTATAGCTCATGACAATACGGTGACAATTTGACACAAGTGTCTTTCCATTTGCAAATATTTTATCACTGCTGAGAATACTATTTAAATATATTAATACGGTTTATCTGTACTTCCAAAAGGAAGTACTAAAGTATCCTGCAGTAACAATGTCACCATAGGGCAATGTGTAGACATGCCCACAGCGTTCTAGATTGAGCTGGAACACGGGTCAGTCCAGGCCAGACCTAGCACATGGGGTCAGACCCAGTGTGCCAGGTCTGAGGTCATATTTCATGCTGGGTCCATTTGAGAAAATGATTGATCAATCAGAAGCCAGGGCTGCGGGCTGCTCTGTCTGCTGCCTTCTTTCCAGCTGTGGGCATGTAGGACACTGGGGGAGGCAGGCAGCAGTAGTCACAGCTCAGCTCTAGGCACCAGCCCTATGAAACTTTTACTTCTGCTGGGGTGGGCTGGGTTCAGATATGGACTGACCTTGCACACCAGCCTGATCCAGCACATCAGTCCCAGACCATGTGCTGGGTCAATTCTATTTCATGTCAGGTCTGGAGCCACAAGGTAGGTTGGCCGCATTCTGAGAGCTGGACTCGGTGCAAAACCCCAGACTTAGTACGTGGCCCTGGAACCAGTGCACCAGATTGGACTGGCACGTGGTATTAGCCTGTGGCCAGACCCAGCCTATCCCTGCTCCACCAAAAGCAAGGTGTGTGCTGTATTCATGATTAATTTTTCCTATGGGATAGTTACTGTGAGGGTTTGTGTTTGGGCCTATGGTAGGGCACTATGAATGACCTGGGGGTCAGCAAGGTGGGAGTACTGAATACCCAAATGCCAGGTTGGAGTTAGAACCTGAAGACCAGAGAGCACAGGGACCAGGAAAGCTGAAAGGGGAGATCTGAGATGTTTAGTCTGTTAAGTGAAATCCAAAACCAGGGGCCAGAGATTCAGTACTGAATTCCACGGGAGATCCAAGATCAGGGTCAGGAAAAGCCAAAGCCGAGTCAGGAGCCAGGAGAACCAGAAAGCAGTGAGCATGAGGCTTGCCAGAACAGAGGGAGGCTATGTGAAGGCATGCCTGCAGCCTGAGGCTGCAGGTGTGCTCAGAGACAACCCTAGCAGGGTGCGGGGCCCAGGGCAAATCAGCCTGTGTGGGGCCCAGATGCAAAGAAGCCAGCAGCGGCAGGGGGTGAACAGCTGGATGCAAAGCCAGCGCCAGCGGTGCAGTCACCAGCACTAGATGGGCCCTGCAGGAGGGGCTGCAGTTTCTCTGCCCAGCTCTGAATTGGGGCAACTGCAGGGCTGGGGCGGTTGCCCCAATTTGCGCCCCTCCCCTCCCCCCCAAGGGATGGCCCTGGGTGTGTTTATAAGGAGTGAGTGGTGCCTTCAGCAGCCAATCCAGTTGCAGAGAACTGGGGCAGTCTCATTAGTCAGAGTCAGGGTAGGTGTGGAAACTCAGGTGTCTTACCTAGGCAGGCATGCCTGATTTCAGAGGATGGGCAGATATCAAATTGCTAAAATTTAATTTAAAAAATGTTTAACAATCCATCAAGAAAATGAAATTTTTCAAATACTTTTTTATTTTGCTGACACAAATTAATATTAGGTTGATCCAAAATAATTCCCCCTCTCCCCACTCAGTTTTTGGATTTTTCTTAGTTTAGCTAGCATACTTGAGGATCAACTATTTTCACAGTTCTGCTGAGGAGGAACAGGAGGAAAGAAACCTATTCTACCTCAGAATATTTTCTTAAACCAGGATTGCTGAAATTTATTGGGTAAAGGGGGAATGAAGGGCATGCTCTCTGCTGACCTAAAAAGGCTATTTGTAGTTTCATCTTGACAAGTTGTTGGACTTAGGGATAGTTGAATATATGATTTCTACTGAAGTTGTGTGTGAGATAAAACTAGAGTAGGGATAAATGGTTTTAAGTGTGGATACTGTATTTTCTCACATATGGTATGCACCTTCCCTATTATTCAATGTTATATTAAATGTGTTCCCATTCTGTATCCTAGGGATAAGTATCAGTTATTTAAACGTTATCGCTAACATGGTAAAGAACTAGTTTTCATCCAAATGATTTGTCTGGTAGCACTGAATTCAGTCTGCATTCTTTATTTCCTTCCCCCAACACTTCCAAACCATCAGCAATAATAGTTGTGGTAATAATGTTATACATTTTTCTAGACCAAAGAGAGTCAGGAAAAACAGCAAGGCTTGTTAAACAAGTTAAGTTTATTTTAATTAGATTGGTCAATAAACCTTTCTTTTTCCATTTTCCAGTTTTCCTAAGCTTAGATTCACTACAGAGTTTTATTCAAACAAGGAAACCAATTTTGGATATAGATGTGTGCCAGGAAATTTTAACTTTTAAGTAAGACCACTGCAAAGGATGTATGGCTCCATTTGCTCTTGCATTGCCCTCTGGAATGTAAGGGCAGGATTTTAGATTTATGAACATTTACTTTATAACCAGACATACGGTACACCTGAATTTATACACTGCCAAAATCACACTGGATGAAGAGATCAATAATTATGCCAAGTATAACAGATCATCTATATATAAGACAGGCTTTTATTCTTTATCTGCTCCAGTGATAGTTTTCCATTATTGGACATCCTCTGATTTTTATGTGCAAATTTCTGAATAAACTGGGCAAAAAAGCAAGGGCAAGGGGATGGAGGGTCCATCCAAAATATTTTTTTTTAAACAACTTCCAGTAGTGACTAGTTCATCACATATAATTTCAAAGATTGGAATGAAACATATTTACAGATGAAAGCTACATCTAAAACTTTCTGTCTCAAGAATGACATCTACTCAATTCAATCAAATATCATTTTACTACTGAAACTAAAAAGGCCAGTATGTAGGTAATATTAAACACTTCCAGTCCCCAGTGTTAGTGAGGGAATATTTAATCTAAAATTATATATATAATTTTAGAGCGCCCCAGTTAGCACTCTCTGTGCCCCGCTATCAGACAGAGTGCTTGCTCTCAAGGGGGCCATGTGCCCCCCTCTATCCCCTCATGCATCGCCTACAGGTGAGGGTGCTTTGTATCTTGCTAGTCCAAGCATTTTAGATTAAGTATTTATATTTTATGTTGATTTATATTAGTATGTGAGTGTGAGTGTGTGTGTGTGTGTGTGTGTGCACGCGCATGCACACATCCCCCCATGCATTGCCTACGGATGAGGGTGCTTTGTACCTTGCTAGTCCAAGCATTTTAGATTAAGTATTTATATTTTATGTTGATTTATATTACTATGTGAATGTGTGTGTGTGTGTGTTGGGGACTGGAAGTGTTTAATATTATCCAAATACTGGCCTTTTTAGTTTCAGTACTAAAATGACATTTGATTAAATTTAATAGAATGAAGTTGGACAAGATTTTACCCTCAGCTATATGTATGCTGTGACAATAGTGTTGTAATGATATAACTGGTTGTAGATTTTGTCCCATGGGAGACTTTTGCACTGAAACTCCGGAATTAGCACTGACTGAAAATATTCATATGACA